GTGAGGAGTAAACATCATGTGGTCGTTCACTTTGGAAGCTTGTTGAGTGGGAGGCATTTACTGAACCTTGGGTGTCCTTGCTATAATCACTGATTTTCTATGAAGTGCTAATAGGATATGTCTGTTTTCTCCTTTGTAAAGTTGTTGCTTATAAAACAGGCTGCCTTAACAGAATCTTAGGGTTAAATATATAAGGCTGGAAACTGTTCAAATAAAGAGAAATTTTATTTAGTCCTCAGGTGATTCATGCATGGTCTTTAATTATATAATATTAGCCCTGAATGTGGTCATTTTTTTGCATATATGGAGATACAGCTAAAATCTGGATTCATGTTTTGTCTTCTTTTGGTTAACATGTTGCGTAAGAACAGAAAATACTGACAGCTGGAATTACTGAAGCCTTTTTTTAGAGTAGATCTTTTATCTGCTTGCTGTTAACCAGTTTGAGCATATTTTCAGGAAATAAAAGCGAGATGTAACACTAAAAACTGTAATTTTGAAGAAGAAAAAAAAAGTGAGATTTTGCAATTCATTGATTTATTTAGATTTGTTTTTGAAGTTGCATCTATGTTGATTAGCACATCAATTAAATAATTTCTTGTATAAAAATAATATTTACTTTTTCCCATGGTTAGAAAACTCGGGGACGCAGTCTTTTTTGTCCAAGAAACTAACACTAGCATCATCTTGACTGCAATCACAACCTTGCAGATTTTCAGACAGGGAATGGAGAAAGTCTTGAGGGCTGAAAAACCCTCTAATTCCATGATTCAAAAAAGCTCCTAAGCATGTGCTTATGTCCATCCTGAATCAGAATAACATTTAAGCTTTGCTGTCAAGTACATCCTTTTCTGTTGTCTTTTAAATGGCAGTGTTGTTCAGTATAATAAGGTTGATTGGAGTGGCAAGGGAGGCTCTGGTAGATAAACTGCAGCAGCTGAGAGAATAACCAGGGAACGTAACTGTGAGGATTATTAATGTACCGTAAGCAACCTATTTTTGAGTTTACAGAGTCCCATTGATCTCTGGAGGAGTTTGAGCTCTAAAAATAATGTGCCTTTGGGAGCTGGGAGAAAGAGAATTGGAGCCGGCTGGAGGGAGGTCTGAGTGGATTGGAGCATCGCAGGGAGATAATAGAGGGTCCACTGACTGCGAAGGGAGTTCAGGTAGCAATTAAAAGCAACCGGAGAGCAGAGAATACACAGGAGAGAAAGATAATATTATTAGCAGATGTTAAAATAGCACTGCTTGTAAACAGCGTGCTTTAGACAAAATTTGAGAACAGTGGGCTTGATTTTCCTCAGCAACTGAGCACTGAGGTAAGGTTTATCATCATGGCAATTTGGTTGCTCTTGCATTTGGATAGCAAGTGGCAGGGTTCTTGGGTGCTGTAGTTTTTGGGATTTTTTTTGCTCCTCCTGCTAATGAATTAGTCTTGTAGGTGCATGACCTCCTAGAAGTCTGGGTTTCCTTTGATTAGAGCTTCTATGTCTCAGTTGTGACTGGGAGAACTGGATACAGCAGATCTTTTGGTGGGTCCACTGCCTAGTGAGAGTCCTGTGCCATGGGAGGGAGAAGAGGAGCAGTGCTTGCTCAGGTGGGTGGGGTATGATGCCAGATGGGACTTTTCAGCCTTGAGGTCATAAAGGTGATATTAATATTGATTTAAGTGGGAGCTGGGTGTCAAAGGTCTGGGATCTATGAGGAAATAAAGGGAGGCCAAAGGCCAAAAATAATCCCAGCAGCCAGATTACTTGGATTATTAGCAACACAGTAATACAGTATATAACACCTTGTTGCTTTAGTTTGTAAACTCACTGACAGCTCCACAGCAAAGCAGGGGCAAGCAGGGACCTTGCATCTATCACACAAATCCATCCTGACCCTCATGAGTGAAGGACAGCTTCCCTTGGGACAAACAGAAACCCTTCCCAGAGTGGCTGAGGCTTGAGAGCACCTCTGGAGACTGTCCAGTCCAACTCCCTGCTCAGGACAGGGTCATTGCTCAGGGCCATGTCCAGTCAACTTTTGAGTATCTCCAAGGATGGAGACTCCACAACCTCTCTGGGCAACCTGTGCCAATGTTTACTTGACAGCAAAAGAAGTTTTGTTTCCTGTTTAGATGAAATTCCCTGTATTTCAATTTTTGTCTGTTGTCTCCTGTCCCTGTGGTGTCACTGGGCACCACTGAGGAAAGTCTGGCTCCATTTCTTCTATATATCTTACCACCAAGATCCCTGGGGGCTTGGTGTGCGCAGCACAGGACAGCTGGTTTTAGGAGCTCCGGAAATAAGGAAAGGCTAAAATATGTGGAGAAGACAAACGTGGAGCTCCCACGCAGGGTAGATGTCTTCTCCAGGATGACACCTGGAGGAAACACAGTCTTGCCATCTAAGATGCCAAATCTGCTAGGAAAGTATAAAATATTATCATGTAATCCTAAAACCTAGAATGCTAAATTACAGCTGTCCTTCATGCCATAAGCCAGCCCACGATGCATTTGGAGGCAGAATCTGATGTTGGGCTCTTTCAGCAGAAGGATCAGGGAACACCTATGGCACCAAGGACCACATTATGCCCTGCTGTGCCTGCTGTGCTTCTGCACACTGCCTCTCCCGATCCTGGGCTTGAGTGCTCCAATTTAATCACAGCCAGCAGTGTTTTATCCACCCACCGCTGGAAAACAGTCACCTTGTGATACCCAAGAACAGGCGCAGAACAGTTTGAAAGAGAAAGGAGCATACTCGACTGAAACACACAGAGAGCATGTGTAGGCAGGCCGTAATTATGTAGGACAGGATTACACATGCGTGCGTATCCTGGGGAGCCATCAAATACAGCCTTAAAGTTGGATTTTGTTTTTGAGATTAGAAAGATAAGTACCTAAAATTGCCTGATTGGAAGGAAATTTCAGCTGAAATGGAACAGTACATTGCCTTACTGAATCAGGCTACGAGATGATTACGTTGTTTGATTGCTAATGGCCACCGAGCATGTTAGCAGCAGTTTCATGACCTCTTTCCTGTGGGCAGTGACACCCCCTCACTTTTTTTCAAGCCAAGTTAATTAACTTTTGACTTCTTTATTCAAAAGTCACCAACACTTTCAAGCAGTTAGTGTAAGCCATGCAGGGTTTCTCTTAATAGCACCTCTTTCTCCAGGAAAGTGCTTTTTCTGAAAGCTAAGCAATTCCAGCTTTTTGAATGCCCCTCCAATATTTGTCCAAATGCGTACAGCCTACACACATTCAGGAGCACAGCAAAAACTCACTTCGTGCAACATTGTCGCGGATGAAAGTATTAGCATGGTGATGATTTAACAACAAATCAAAATGTATTAATAACTAATAGTACTTGATCATTAACCAGTTTAAATACATACAAAATAATTCAGGAAAATGTTGTAATTAAAATAGTGACTTATCTACAGATTCTAAGATGACAAGATTCACTCTAACTTACTAAATGGTATCTTAAATCACTACATATATATATATGTGAACGCATACACAAAGACAAAAACATGCAAATACACAGACACACATGACAAAGTATTTGGATCCAATAAAATAAATTATATACCCACACACCAATAGGCAGAGAAAGAGTAAGAGGAGCTAGCTCAAAGTAAAAGTTCCCTCCTCGAGTTTAGAGCAAATCCTCACAATGCCTTGGCATTCCTCAACAGGCAATAATTGAGACTCCAGTGGGTTGACTTGGCCCTGGCCTTTCGTCAGCTCTGACAGCAGAAAACACCTTAAGGTTTTTGATACCTGAGGGGCGTCCCAGCTCAGGGGAGTTGCTGGTCACAGGCCCGCTGCAATCCAGGAGAGCTCAAAGGGTCTCACTTGGGGTCCCAATTTATAGGGTCCAAGATAACTGACTTTTGTCATTTGTTTTTGCTCAGGCCCAGCCTGAACAATGAACTACCCAGGTACCTTCCAGCAGTTGCACAAGAATTTGATGAAGGTGTAACTGTTACTGTTCTCATTTGATCACATCACCAGTACAGGTGTGCCAGACCGTTAGGAGATGATGGACTGTGATACCCATTTCCGGGGGAGGGGCAGGAGCCAGGCTCGTTAACGTGCTGATTCACTGCCCTTAGCAGTCCTTATCTCCCCAGGTGGACATACCTCCCCGGGGAGATGGGTGGAATCACACTTTGCACCAAGCTGCCCAGGGGGCGAGGATTGCACCACCACAAACATCTTGTGAAGTGTAGAAGGATGTAATTTTTTTCTGTCCCCTGTGGATTTTTCTCTACTTTCTAAGCATTTGTTAAAGGTTCATGAATTCAATAAAGTTTACCAAAAGTAGAGATGTTCTTCCACATCAAATACTTACACCTTGGCTATGCTGAGAAAGTTAGTGTCTTGAACTTCTCGAAGTTAATTACAAAACCTGTTTTCGTAAGTATTGAGCTCTCTGGGCAGAACAGAGAAAGCAAAAGAAAAGGATAATCAAAAGAGCTGGAAAAAAAAATACATATACACATATACGTATATACCAGCAAATAGTGTTTACTGGTAAGATTAGATACTGTTTTGATCTTCATCCAGTTGAGGCATCCCTACTCCCTGCAGCAGGGCCGTGCTGCTGTGCCACAGGGCAGGGTTTGCAGTGCCGGGGCCGGCCCGCCCACGGGTCCCAGGGTCCGCTGAGGACTGGACCCAGTTTGCGGGGGGCAGGGGCAGCCCAGGAGCCCCCCGCGCCCTGCCTCCGAAACTCAAGGCTTTAGAGCTCTTAACAGAATCGAAGTTTCATCAGACAGAGGTTTTGGAGCGTGGGGGGGGAAAGGGAGTGGATCAAAAAGTTTTCTTTCACACCCACTCTATTCCCTGAGCTTGGGTGCAAACAAGTACACCCAGTGAAAGCAAAATTGCAGGTCTGGGGAATATACTCCCCCCAGCAATTTACAGGTACTTTACTGCATGCTCTCAAAATCCCTGCAAGTGCAGTGATAAATGATTAACTTCTGGTCTTGCATTTGCCACACAGGTCTGAAAAGAGGAACTGAATGGATTCCAACGAATGGAGAAAATTTGAAATATTTTATATATTTGTACGAAGTCTATGAACTTCCTAACTCTGCAATACTCCATAGGAAGCATCTTCTTTGTACATTTATATCAATACTGTCATGTTGTCTACTTTGTTTAACATAGGAAAATGATGCTGAAATAAAACAGAACACAGCAACTAACAATTAATGTATTATATATTCAGGAATGAATTTGACCTGAGAATGGGGAATAGTGTGATTCAAAGTTTGAGCAAAAATAGAGTAAATACTTTTATAAAAAATAAGTTCGTTATTTGCAATTAATTTGATTTCTTTCCTTTTGAAAAAAAATCAATATGGACAAAATAGTTTTAAAATTATTTGACAAAATGAAGAATAAATGAGGAATGTAACATCTAATTTCCTGTTGTGTACTCCTGGTTATAGAACAGGAATTGTGTATCATGTGTAATAAAGGAAATTAAAATATTAAAAGGGATTGTCTTTCTGATGAGTTTAGCTAAATTTTTCTTTTGCTGTAGAACCAAAATATTTATTTCTCTTGGGAATCTAAAATGCACTCGTGTTCTGATATTTATGCATCACCTTTACTTTATACAATGAAAATACAAAATGTGAGCTAGTTGTCATAAAATCTGCAACCTTTATTCAAAGAAACAGGTCATCCAGCTTTGATGGAACATGATCCTGAATATAGGTTGAAGGAGCACTATCTTCAAAAGCCCACATAAAAAGGGGACATTGAAATACTGATGCTGAGCAAAATTCATGTATTACCACAGCAACCCTTACATAGAGTGATTAATCCCTGACACTTGTTTTATATGGATTGTACATAAATGAAGACTGTTTGATGCATATTTTATTTTTGGAAATGAGATCTTATTGTTAGAGAAATTTAACAGACTCTGTCTCTTTGGTCTCTCTTGTGTTATTTACTGTGAAGGGATAAGAAGAGTTTTTTGTAATAATATTCTTCTACTGTTGATTGAAACTATTCTACATGCACTGAAACTTTCTGCCTGGCTCTTGTCTATTCAATTAAAATAAAGATAATTATTCTGGTTAGAAAACAGACTTCAAGTTGAATATTACTAACAACGACATCCGTTTAATTCTTGTTTGCTCCATCAGAAAACACAAAACCTAACTGGCAATATTTTTGCATTTTAAGTTATTACATATATTTGCATTGCTTTGTACAGGAAATTAGAAAGGAGCTCGACTTGCTGCAGATCAATTAAAAGGGCATTCTTGTATTTTGTACTTTCAGTATGCAGTACCAACATTGCTTACTATCCTGATCCATCCTTACATGCTCATGGATGATTTCCCTTAATGCATTCCTTGGAAGCAAACATCCCCAAAAGACACGTTGAAATGGAAGTGTCAAGAGACAGAATGCATCAGGATGACCTTTCATTTACATACCGATATGATTAACATCTCTATTCAATCGAAAAATGAACAATTTTCCCTAACACTGAATTATCAGTCCCTGATATTGGACTGCATCGTTCCTCCAAGTATGGAAGTGATAAAAAGAGGACAAAACACACAATCCCTCAAGCTAAAAGCATGTTGAAGGTGAGATGAGTCAGGACCTCTGCTTTTATTATTCTTTACTCACTTTAAAAACACTCATTTCAGAGAACTGCAGAAAGGTAAAGCCACATTTTTCCCCTCCTTTCACAGTTAGGAAACAGCATAGTGGAAATTCCAGGGGATGGGGAGAGTGGGACCACGTTACAGTCAGCATGTCTGAATATGTAAGTGAATGAAAAAAACCCATCCCTGACACAGACACATGCTTCTTTTGCCAGATTTCAACTCCTTGCTACGAAGTGGAGGAGTGCCATCAGTGGCCATTGAAACAGCTTAATGGTGGAGAGGGGCTAGGCAGAGGCAAAGAATATTTCTTTTCTCAGCTTCCTCTTTATTTTAAACAAAATTACAAAATATATATAATTTTAAACCATCTCGAGGCTGACAGCTATGGGGCATGGGATCAGTGAGGTCCCTGAGTGAGATCTTAGCACTACATGGAATCTTTATTGCAGCATAAAATTAACAGCTTTGTACAAGAAAAAAAGGAGGCTATCTATGAAGTTTCTCTGTCTCACCTACCAAACTGTTAATTGCTGGTCTGAACCATCATGTGCTAGTGATGTTACTTTTCATCTAGATTTTATGACTGGAGGGCTTACACAGACCAGAGAAAGATGCCCCAAGCTACTCTGCAGTCTCTTACTTCTGGCATGGAAAATTTTGCCCTGCAAATGTTACATTTTGGCACAAATTTAGGGAAGGATTGAGGTCTTACAATGAAAGATGAGCACAAAAATACGTAGTAAGAGAGCATGTTAAAATCATACCTACTTCACGTGGTTACATGCCAGCCTTTGTCTGTATGAGCCAAACTCGCTACCAGCTATATATTAATACCTCACTAAGGAGATGATACATGACCACCCCCACTAGGCAGTGAAGTCAGAGGAATAGTTTCAAAAAATAAATAGTTATCATAACTGAACCGCAGAGAGATAAATTCCCCTTCACCCCATAACCCCTAACCTGCCTAATGAGGAACCCACGAATTAAAGCAAAGTAGCTGAATTTCAGTGTCATCCCTACGCTCTGGTCTCTGTATGGTGCTGGTGTGACAGTAAATAAAAGGGACAGCATTGCCCTGGTGTTGCTAAGCTCCGTGCATGCAAGGTGGAGGAAAAGGTCCCTTTGTTAGCTCCCTACCCAGTGCTCTGCACTGTAATTTTTTTTTTGTCCCAATGCTGAAAGTGAGACTTCTTCAATCCAGATGAACAAATTTTTCTGAGAAACTACTCAACAATGCAGTGGAGGCATGTTCTGTTAGAAAACTAGAAATAGTTATTGTGCTGTGCCCAAGGCAAAGGGTTTAGTCTAATGAGACAGCAAGACCCTGACACATTCAGGGAGAAACTTTTAATCATCAGCCACTGACCAAAAGCATGATCTAATGATTTATCTGATCATCTGCACAAAAAAATCCAAATATTTAACTTAGAGGTAAATATAAAAGTAGAGGTAAAATAACAATTACTGTTACCTGAAAACTTATGGTGAATTTGAATGTTTTTCAGCTGATTACTCTGGTTTAATCAATTACAATTAAATTTCTAAGACAAATAGTGTTACTCTGGAGGCTTGGCTTTACGTTTCACTTGAACTATAGAACTAAACCATCAGTTCTGCATTTTCTCTGATGGTGTAAACTATTATCTTTAGTTGTAAAAGCAAGGCCCCACTATACTACTTCACTTACTGTACCATCAAAACATCTGTAGTTACATTAAACTGTGTTTATGGACATGAATTCCCCAAATCAAAGTCTTGAGATGCAGTTCACTGAGTTCAGTGGCATCTTACCAGGACTGTGCTCAGTGTAATCACAAGGGTGATAAAGATGGCCTTTTTATTTATCTCTTGTTCCATGCAGTCTGTAAATTATTTATAGGAAGATGTAATAAAAACCCGGCACTTTGGCCATTTTGTATTATAAAATATTGATGTTGAGAGAAGAGAATCAGAGAAGGGTATCCAAGGAAAACAGTTGTATTTTTCTTGGTAATAGCTTTTGGGCCAAAATGTTGAAACAATTTTCTTTTGCTCTTGTGACTAAGTCCTGGTTTCTCTAATGTGTGCACATTTAATTTGAATGAGTTTTTGCTTTATAAGTGAAGCAGATTAAGTAATGCACTCGGCAAAAAAATCCTAATTTTGGTACATGAGCTGTTTAGGACTACTGGTGGATGAATAATTACAAAGGAAATTGCCCCTAAAGCTGTTTTTTCAGCCCTCAAAAAGTACTGATGCTTTGCTCCTTACTTTATTGCCCAAGATAAACCAGTTCACTAGAGACAAAAAACTAAGGGTTGGATATAAGATCAGTCAAACTTGGCAAAATCCAGTTTTCCTGTGTCTTTGGAGCCATTCATAAAATAAACACATCTGTTCATACGTTGCACTCACTTCCCACTACATTACATTGCAGTAACTGAAGTGGATGCTTTCAAAGCTATCCCACAGAACACTGGTGACTAACTGCGAGTGCAATAGCAAAGTGTCAGTGTTCTGGCCCTGATACCAACTGTGGGTTTCATATGCACAGGTGGTTGGTAAATCTTGTCTGGTAACTAATTAAATTTGATTTTGTCTGGGTGTCGTACTGTGAAAAGTGGCCTAATCCTTTGCTGTATTTTTAGTGAAACTGGAGTTAGATTCATCTTTCTTACAGATGCTGCGTTCTTAGTAAATATTTTTTTACAGGTACTACAATAGTTTCTATTGAGACTATTCTTCTTTAAACAGTGGCTCTTCATCTTCATCTAATACTTATGACTTTCCTAGCTGATCATCCGCAGGGTCAGAATGGGTCTCAACAGATCTCCCTTCTATCAGCAGGCTGGTAACCCAAGCCCTGACCTGAGCAGAAGCGCAGAAGTCAGCATGCAGCTGAACTGGACATTGCAATGACACAGCACACGGTACTTGCTGTCCTCCTTAGCGCATGGGTGTTGACCATGCGATGCAAGTTTGGACATGAGGGGCAGGATTCGCATGCCTGCTTGGGCATGAGGAAGACCCATATGAGCAGATGGACTCATCGAGAGCAGAGGGACAATGCAAGTGGGGTGGACTCATAGAGACTGAGATGGTGAAGGTGGGGGTGAGAGCCAGAAGAGAACACAGGCATAGGTTTCTGCTTTGAGAAACCAGTCAGGGAGCGTGAGTGATTTCAGGGCTGCCAAGATCCCTGCGGCCGTACCACTTCTTTCCTCCGGCTCAAGTTTTCTAACAGGTAGCTCAGCAGGTACACGGGAGCAGGTCTGGCAGGCTGGGGAAAGTTATGTGCTGGGCTGATATGACAGCTGAATGCTTAGAGGAAGGCCAGAGGCTTGAGGAGACATCTCAAGGCCCTTTGGATCCTTATTGTTTCTGAAGTCAGGAAAACCACCTTGCTCCTTGCTTCCCACCAGCAGTCCTGGTATGTGCTGAGGTGCTGATTTGGAGATGCAGGGTGAGTGATGGAAGAAGCTGTGGGGCATTGAATAATTGGAGCTCTACTTCTCAGAGTTGTTGGTTGACATCACAGTTGCTGCCAAGGCTGGCCCTGGCCTGGTGGCCATATCTAGAATTAGGAGGGTTGGGAGAATATCCAGATTTGTGCTTTCCTACAGAAATCAGGGAAGGAGCACAAATTCTTAACTGTCTTATTGCACAGTCAAGTAGCAAACTCACACACACAAAAAAT